ATTTCAGGAGCTAGCTGGCGATTCTCCATCTATATACAAAGTTAAAAAATTGGTTCTTTATAAGAATAATAATAATAAATAACAATCTGTTGGCATATCCCATTTTAGAACTCTGCTTCATCTATGGAGAGATCTCTTCAGAGCATGGATATAATCATATGAAAGAAGTGGAAGAAATATGATCTCAAAATCAGTTCTGTTGGAAAATTGTTAGAAAATCTAGTCAATTTTTATTCATTTCCTCTGTCGTTTCAACAGACACCGCTGTGTTTCCTTGAACATTAATGGCTTTTCTTATGCCTTTAAAAACTGCTGCGATACGAAGGTTTGACATGGAAGGCACTTCTTGGTGAAATCACAATTGTATTTTTATAAGAAATATGTAAGTTTTTAAGACGCGAATCACTTCAATCGTTGAGAGTTGTGAAGAACGTTGTCGAGGTTTTCCTAATCTGCTAGTCTTTGTAGTTTTTCAAGACATTCCAATAGCTATCTATGTACAACAAATAGTTCCGGTGTCTGTTCGAATCATAGAGAGCACGGATACAAATCACCAAGGTTTTCTTATTACTATTGAATAATCAGGATCGATTTCAGTAGCGTATTAATTGCTATCCTTTTCATTAAATGCACGAATAGCTGCAAACAGTCTGCATTAACAAGAAAAGGTGACTAGCTCCTTCACTATTTCCATAAAACTGGCAAAAATTGCCAATATTTACTTTCATTTTCTTCTTTTCATACATTTAGACACAGTATAAAACTCACATAAACTATACTTAATTACTGGTATCATTTCAGGATAGAAAAGTCTTCTGAACACCGATAGACTAAAAGGGCTTACGAGAGAGACTGCAATATCAAAAGACTTACGTCTGCTTCTTGTAATAGAGCGATATTGACGAATATTGTAATAACGAATATAATACCTTGGTAATGTATCGATGTTGTTTAATAAAGAAAGTGAAAGTAATACTTTGCTTATATGTGTATCGAAATAATGTTTGGCTGGCGTCCATTCAACCGTATACGTTGGATAAAGTATGATCATATATTAATGAAACAGACTGGGTTTTTTCCGACAAAAATGTTATTATTCTTTTGCTTGTTCTATCACTTATCGATGAGACAGCTTGAATAATAAAGAGGGAAAGTTAATCGATTGTTGGAAAAATGTGCATAATATCACGATTTTATTTTTATTTTTCTTTCTACCATTGCACAGGATACGTAAAATATACAGGCTTCACAACTAATAATACGCTGATTTATATCATCGATCCTGTTAAAAACGAGCTCAATGGTCCCTTCTGCCTATGACAGAAGATATTGGTTTCTACTACCACTTTTGGAAGCATTTCTTGTCCAAACACATATTCCTCCTCAAAAATCGACATTTGGATGAGGTCCAGTCCTCGGTATCCTTTCTGTTCCTCAAAGAAACTTGAGAGTCACTTTCGACATCTGCCTCGGCCACTATCATCGTGAGTATCCTTGCTTTGATTCAGATTCATTTTCTAGTCGTTATTTTTATTTCGGTTGTAATTCAAATCATCATTCTGTTATCTATCTCGGTGGAAAATCAGCTTCTGACACAACTTACACTCTCAATCGATAGAATCAATTACATTATCAACTTCAACCTTGGTATCAAGATCTGTCAGACTGATTCTGTTCCGTAGTCACTCTATCAAGGGAAGCATCTCGCTTAGTTATTACTCATTGTTCTGTACTATCCCAAAGCTTCTCATGGAGCAGTACTCATTTTTATAACAGTTGCGTTCTATTTTTGTCCTCAGTTGGTATCTTAGCTTTAGAGTGTACTCCCAGTTTGATCATGTTCTTAATTAGAGTGGTAGCTCCGAACTGAACTACAATACTCATTGCAGACATGCTTTGGGACCACTGCTTTCGGTAGGCTTTGGTAACTGCATTCGATAGTTCATCAAATTTCTGGAAAAATAGTTTCAGACGATTACGATTTTTTTTGGCACGAATTCTATCTGATCTTTTTTGGATTATTTACTCTTTATTTTTTAGTTAAATCTGGCTTTGCGCCTGATAAAGAGACAATATTTTATTTTCAATTCTTTTGTAGACATTTTTATTATTTTCAAGGTTAAGCCCAATAAAGATTTTTATGGTCTTCTTTAATTTCATGAAGAGGAAACGAAAATTCAAATGAAAAAAAGCAGTTGTGGTATTTTTCTTTTCACAAATAACCGAAAAAGTATGCCAAGAAAACAAGTGCAAAAGCTTGTCAACGCAGCCCCTTTGGAGCTGAAATGTGGAACTTACGTATGTGCTTCCGAGTTGTTATCATAATGCATTATTTCTAAACTAAAAAATAGTCTTCGTTTCGAATAATTATGAGTGCACTAGAAAATTGTAGAAGATCTGAATTCTGCGCAATTGCTGAGGTCTGTAATAATGGCCTGTTTGTAATGGGAGTGGGGAGAGGGTGGGAGAAGAGGGGTTACACCAGTAATCTTCTGTTCCTGTTGCTATGTGTCTGTCATGGGGTGGAGGAGGAGGGGAACTGGAACATCTTGGTCTTAAAATTTATACTGACTATTTTCTTTGAAAATGTACGTAAGTTCCGCAATCAAACAAATTCTCCAGGGAATGTATCGATTAATGTGTTCTATGAATGATATTTTTGAAAATAGGTGTATGAAACAAAGCTTCAACATCAATATGAAAACTTTTAAAACGGAGTAAGATACAACAAGAGCGTTCTGTTTCCTGCAGTGTAAAGAATGATACTACTGCATTTTAGACGAAAATGCGTAATATTTTGTTTGTTTGTGATAAAAGAATAATTAACAAAACCTCAGTTTTGCTTCGTTTGCAAGCAACGTCAGGTTCAACTTGGAATGCATGAACCAATAGTCACACACACGATAACTTAGTAATTGAGTTTTAAAAGACAAAATCAGTACTTCCTAACTTAAAAGAGAGACGATAAACAAACTCCAGACCTTGTCTGTCATGGTCTGTGGGGAGGAAAGGGAGGTGAGTCCATATGTCTACCTCTAAAGAGTTCAACATTCTTTTCAGATCGTATTTGACAAAACTGCTTCTTCCATGAAGAGGCTCCAAGCTTTTAAGAGAGAGTCCGTGAGATGATCGAGTATCGTGGTAGATATTGAAGTACTCGATAAAATTTGAATTTTTGTTTTTATGTTCTTATTTTGTTCAGCATCATCTAAAACCGCTAAATGCAAACTTTTAGAGCATTTCGTTGAGCCATTGGAAAGTTAGCTCGAATGCACCTATCACAGGGTAAGAGTCTTAGTTGAGGAAAACTAAAAAATCCTGCATAGAAAGTTAAGATTCTTTTAGATGACAATAATTTTATGAAATTTTTCGTGTAATATACCAAAAGATACGGCTTCGACGCTGAACAAAATCATCTTTTAATATGTTAGATTTCCATGGACTAATCGAGAGTTATCTATGAAATACTATCTATAACTCGTTATTTTCCAGTGGAAAAATGAGACTATCTTTTAGCAATATATTACAGTGTATCAGCTTCCGTTTAGTCATTTTAAGAGATCCTGCGCTGAATATTTTATAAGCTATACGACTTTTTTCTCTCGACAAAATTGTTATAAAAAAAAATAAAAAAGATTTCGAATGATGTCCAAAAATGGCTTACAACGTTGATCAATTGGACAGTGTCTATGAGAAAAAATTATTTTGAATATTTTTTTCTGAAAAACGAACAAAAGTTTAAGAAGACTATGATGCATCTAAAGTATTTTTCACACAAGTACGATATATTTCAATAAGCAAATCGTCTATATAAACTGTTGAATTATCATTTATCGTAATTTACGAAGGTAAAATGGGTTAGCATCATGTTATGCAAAAGAGCTGAAAACACTTTATAAGTCGATTAACGTTCAATTTTACTTCAGTGGAAATTAAAGTATTGTTTAAATAGTTGTACACTTACTTTATACAAGACGCAGGATTGATGGTCACGTTTAAGGGGAATCTTATCCGTGCTTCTCCTCTTCGGCACGTAGAGCCCATGATGCCTGAAGAGGAGGGACATTATTCCGAAAACACATGTCCCTTTATTGTCTATGAAGGGTACTTGGAAAAGCCGCACTCATGCAAACAATATAATTCTTTATCAATGGTCATTATTCAGAAAATCCGTGCCCATTGGTATGTTCACGCGAGCATAACTCGGTAAAACCGTACCCATCCGTTTATTTACAATGACTTAGCCCTAATCCGGTAAACCTGGTTCTGTTTTATATTTTATTTGGTTTTCTTTAATGTCAGAGGAGTGGTTGTAGCTGGGAATACATTTAAAGAGATGATTCAAGTGCCATTTTAGCATTCATACTAAAGCTTGCTAGCATTTTGATCTCTTACAGAGCAATTTCAATATCTTGAAAATCTTAGTTTAATGTTTCAAGTTCAAAGTCAATTTCCTCGTTCTCAATATCATTACCAGTATTTTTGACGGGTTTATTTTCGATGAGGACTTTACTATCTGACAAATTTTGAGTGGTAATCATCTGTTGTTCGCGTTTTAGTTGACAGAAAAATGAGCAAACCTCATTTTCATTTTAAACTTGGATAGCCGAAAAGTAAAGCTTGCCGTTTTCTTTCAAGGTCTCCTATCTAATACAAACTGTTTCGGTTTCCAACGTTTCATACCGGAAACGCCTTCATCTAATTTCTTTTTGAAGTACCTACACTGTTCATCTAAAATATGTATGCTCGATTTACGTATGGACAAAACCCAGCCTTGAGGAAGAGAATTGATTTCGGGTGTGAATGTGTGGCGATGGGTGCGTGTGGCTGTGAGACGAGGACATCTACATGAACACCCAAGCCTACACCCGTATCCCATGCCCACACCCACACCCACATCCACACCTATCGGTGTCCCTTTTTGTTCTAAATTGACAAAAGCTTCTTGCTGCTTAAATTGTCTCAAAGCAAATCATTTTAAAGTATTTAAAATACTTTTAATGGAACTTGACGAGGCATCCACAGCTGACGGCTATTATGATCGAATCAAGGCTATTTGTGGACAAATCAGGGTCGTAAGTTTTCGCAAAAGAGGTTTCGATTTATATGGTCTCAGCAATTTAGATGGACTGGCTTTTAACACCGATACGATTTGCACGCGTTACTCATTTCAACCTAGTTATTCATAAGGTAGACCAAGAAGCCAAATCATATCTTCAGCGGACATCTTTAGGCGTTCAAAATATGGTTACAATTGACGTCATTGCAGATGGCAATTGTCTCTATAACTCTATCGTATGTTTGACTGATAATACAGTTTTGATATCTTGCGAACCGAGAGGTAGGTACTTCCAACTTTACTATTCAGTTCTGTTAATACAATCTTTCTAATTCAAAATGTAATAGAACTCGTAAAAAATGAAACTCTCTACAGCAATCGCCTTGCACATATTGTTGGACCACTCAATGAGGTGATAAAAATATCACCCATCATTTTTCATTCTCGGAACTTTATGAAATCGCAGCCTTGAGCAATGTTCTTCAATGCAATATACGAGTGATATATCCTAGAATTGATTATCGACCTGATCTAGACATCATGAATAGTACGTTTGAGCATGCTCAATCCAGTATTTCATCTAAAACAATTTATATATCCTGGTTACATACTCAAAGTGAAAGAGACACAAGTAAAAGTAATGTTGATAATTGGACACCTAATAATTTCGTACCACTTTTACTTCCATCGAGTGAGTCTCAGAATCAAAGTAACCTGACTGAACCGAAATCCACTGTGTCACGCTTGGTGAGTTTAATGTTTTAGTACAGAACTTTTTACACAAATAAAACACACTTTCACTTACAGACGCCAACTAATTCAACAACGAAGAATAACGTACTAACTCGAATTCGCATTCCTGAATTTAATATGGAGAGTAATAAAATTCAACAATTTCAAACATCATCGACCTATTACATGGTAAGCCAGGAAACCGCAACAACTTCTCGAACTAAACGAATACTACAAGCAAGTGAGACTCACACGAGCGCGAAGAACACGAATATTGACAAAAGACGATTACAAGCTTGTCAAAGGATGGCTTTTAAGCTAGCTCAAGCTACACCAGAGGAAGCTGAAAGATAGCGGATATTTGCAAGCGAAAGACGCGCTATCAGAAGAGCTGCCTTTACATCAGAACAAGCTAAACTAGAGCGGTCCCTTGCAGGAGAAAGAATTGCAGCTAGAAGAGCTGCTTTAACATCAGCATAACTTGAACATGAACGTACTATGACTCGAGACAAAAGTGCAGCCAGAAGAACTGCTTTAACAGTGCAAGAAATCGAAGTCCAGCGAGAGCTAACTCGTGAGAAATTTGTGGCATGGAGAGCTACTTTTACATCGAAAGAGATCCAGCTACAACGAACACTTGCTGCCGAACGAAGTATGAATAAACGAGCTACTGTATCACCAAAAGAAGCTGAAGAACAGTGTGTGGTAGCTTGCAAAAGAAGTACCGCAAGACAAGCTACTTATACATCTGATGAACTCGAATGACAGCGTGCATCTGCTCGTCAGAGAAAGTGGCTTCGATAAAGCGACAAGCACCAACAAGAAAGTAACGACTTTGAATGGCCAAAACCTATTGATATTGAACGTAAGAAAAACTGTTTAAAGAACTTTATTCAACATATGTCGATGAGTTCTCTGCAAGTAGGTGTTTGCGGTATTTGTAATGTTCGTTGCTACAAACGTGATTTCTACCATATACCGTTCAGTAAAATACCGTCTATTGAATTACTGAAAGTACCCAACGATTTTTATGACATAGTTCCGGGAATGCAGGAAACGTACCAATTCCAGTCACATGATAAGCTTAACATGAGTGGTGATCTTGCCAAGGCGTTGATTCAGAAAGAAAGAGCAGCAGGTTAGTCTCGCTAGTACGTAAACTAATACAGTAAATAATTTTTTTAATTATAGATACGCATGCTCAATCAACAATGAATAAACAGGAGTTTACTTATGTAAACGGTATCGTTTTTTATGAAGCAGGATTGCATAAAACTGTTGAGAGAAAAAAACGATATTCGATACACTGCGACATTTGTTCGGAGTGTTGGTCGTCTCTAATAAAAGGGAAAGTACCGAAATTTTCGCCTGCCAACAAAATATGGGCTGGAGATGTCCCAGAAGAACTACAAGGAGTAACAATTCATGAGGAAAAACTGATCGCTCTTTAGCGGCACAATGGCTGCATTGTCAAGTTACATTCGTCTTTTCATTCGACAAGTACAGCTCAGTCAGCTTTAAGAAGGAATTGCATAAGTTTTCCCCAAGATGTTATTAACATAGCTACTACCTTACCACTAGATTTAGATGATCTATGTGATTCTCTAAAGATAATCTTTGTTGGATGTCGTCCTCATCAACGAAACCAATTAAAAAATGTTTTGACCGTTCGAAAAAAGAAAGTTTTCGAAGCACTTCAATGGCTTAGACAGAATAATGCTCTATCTCGTAATGTTACAATTAATCAATTAATAATCAGCAAATTACCTGAAGATGATGTACCGGAGTGTTTATGGGCAACCATGGAAGTTTCTACTAATGTAGAAGCAGCTGAAAATGAAAGAGCAAGTTACCTTCCTGATCCGTTGACCAATGCATCTGAATTTAACAATACAACAGCTATACCTATAATCTCAAGGTAAGACAAAGAGACATGTTGATATTTTGGTACTAATATTGTTTATGTTATAGTGCTGTGTTAGATGTCAATAGTACCAAAGTGTCGTCTGATGAAGTTGCTGAACATCTTTTAGAACGAATCAAAGCACAAGTGCCAGAAAAAACACACGGAAAAGACACCGAGCAAAACTCTAAACAAGACACTGTATACATAATTCCTCGCGGCAACAAACCGGCCAATGAATATTCTAATCCAAATCTTTTATTAGAAATCTTTCCTACCCTATTCCCATATGAATGTGGTGGGCTTGAGGATGGTTCTCGACCGATTCAAATCAATTTTCGTGAGCATCTCAGATATCTTCTTTCGTATGCAGATCGCCGCTTTGAAGAACACTATTCATTTATATTCGTTGTTTTCAATATTTTACAACGCCGAACAGCATGTTTCCATGCCCAATTAATGACAACAAGATCGTGGTTTCAACAATCTGCATAAGTTCTTAACTCATTGAGTTCTGAAGATGTAGCAGCAGCCCTTATTAATATCTCAAAAGCGTCTTATTCAAAAGTTACTGACGAGAGAATAAATACGTTGATGAAGCACATCAAAATTATTGGTGGTCACGTCATGGGTTCAGCTCATTCCCGATCAGCTCTTCGTACGAAAATTCATTCTTTATGTTTTTATCTTGGTCTTCCTAGCCTTTTCGTCACAATCAATCCGGCTGACATCCATAGTCCAGTGGCACTTTACTTTGGAGGTGTCGATCTCGATCTTGATAACGTTCTGCCAGAAGTCCTGCGTACAAGTTATGAGCGTGCTCAAATTGTCGCGACACACCCTGTTGCAACTGCAAAGTTCTTCAACTGTTTAATAAAAAGCATTTTGAAAAGCCTAGTGTTGGGCGGTGTACTTGGTCCTGCAAAAGCGTATTTCGGCACTGTAGAGAGTCAAGGAAGAGGATCGCTCCATTTACATCTCTTGATTTGGCTCAATCATGAATATACTCCAGCACAATTGAAAGAAAATATTCAAAATCAAGATTTTCGTGAAAATTTACTAAAATATTTAGAAGATATTATAAAAGAAGATTTAGATTCGTTTCGAGGTAAAATATTTAACATTGTTCGAATCTGTCATTTGAAGTTGTTACATTTGCCTACTTGATCCTGTTTTACACCCTATTAGTGCATCACTCCCTTATCTTGAACTTGAGCTTTCAGAACATTTTAAAAACTTTCATTAATCCAAAGCATACTCCATTCCGATTACCTATTCTTACTATATATTTATGAGACTTCTATTTTTTGTACTTTTCAATATCAATATTCTTTTTCAAGATGAAACCAACGACGGAACAAGTACGACAAGTGATACTAGAACATTAATTGGTGAGCTTTGAAGTTCTTAGTAGATCTTTAATTATAATTCTCACTTCATCTTAGGAGAAATTGGATCGACAGCAACTGAAGTTATCCCACCATGTCGCCCAACACCAAATCCTGCATTGGAAGACTTCGATCAAACGTTTCGCAAAGATGCAGTTCAATTGGTCGAAACCTGCAATATTCACAAGCATTCTGCAGCTTGCTATAAATATTCTAAAGGCAAAAATGAAAGTTCAAAAATTTGTCGAAGACGCATGCCACGTGCACTAGTGAAGGTTTCTAATATTGATCCTACGACGGGACAAATAACTATGCGTCGATCGCACCCGTGGATCAATAACTTCAACGTATGGCTCTTAACTGCATGTCGATCAAACATGGACATTAAGTTCATCTGGAGTGGAATTGACGCTAAAGCATTAGTTTACTATATAACTGATTATGTAACAAAGTCTACTCTGGCCTTCTATGATATGTTTGCGCTGGCACAACAAGGCATCAAATCTATCGAGCATGAACGAATTTCTAATAGCACAGATAATATTGTTGGCAAATCGCGTAAACTAGTGTTACGCTGCTTTAATATGATTGCTTCACAACAAGAAGTTTCAGGTGTTCAAGTTGCGTCATATCTAATGAATTATGGTGACCACTACACTACACATACGTTCAAAAATCTTTTTCTCATTTCAATCGAAAACTATCTGCAAACAGAACTAAATAAAGCACGAATTAACGAAAAAGAAATTGTTGAAGAGAGAATAGATGGTAGAACTTTTTAAAGTAATTGTATAGATTTTTAATATGTAGTTTTCTAGAGACTTCAACGCCCTTCTACGATGAACAAGGAGAAGATAAAAACGAAATTGAAGAACAATTTTTATTAGAACCTACAAAAACCAACAGCGGCGATCAGTATGTCTTGGTCAATACTCGTCTTGACTATCAGCATCGATCAATGGATCTAAATGCATTGTGTTTTTATGACTTTGTGAGCCATTTTCACAAGAAGGTTATCGATAAATCGGATCGTCATTTACTAAAGAATGTAACCGATCCTCAGGGCCAACAATTACCTACAGAAGGAACGAAAATGAATGAACGTCATACATTTGACAGCGTACATCCACAATCAACATCTCATCTCATAATTAAACGTTCCATTCCAGTAGTACCAGTTCTGATAGGTCCTCAAATACCTCGCCGCGAACGAGAAGAAACACATGAACGTTATTGTCGCGCGTTGTTAACATTATTCATGCCATGGCGATCAGTCCAAAACCTTTGTGCAACGAATGAGACATGGTCTGAAGCATTGGAAGCTCGAAGGCTGTTGATCTCTCCCAACTCGCTTAAGATTATAGAAAATATAGAACTTTTGCACGAATGCAAACACGATCGGGATGAACACCTTCATCAAGTTCTTTTAGAAGCCCAAAACGACAACAGCATTGACCCTATTTTGATGCCTAATTACTATGAAGGCGACGAAAATGCAGAAGAAGACGATCCTGAACAACTTTTGCAAATGCTCTCCATCGTAAATGAGATCACGACAAACACTTACTCTGCATTGGCAGCTACTCAAGAACAACGCTATGTTCATGATGCATTACAAGCAATTGATAATACAGATAGATTTGCATTACTAAATGGTGAATTAATTACTATTATATTTCGAAAATATTTTGTTTTGATTTAGACAGCAGACACATTTGGCACCAAAATAATTATGGCACCATACACGACATCAACACATTTGTGGTAGCTCACGCACATCACAGCGTCATGATTAAAGGATGGAAACGTGACATTGAAGGTCGACGAGATGAAGCAAGAAACTATTTAATTTCAGGTGAAAATACTCTGGAAGTGCGAGATGATGAAACACAGATTGAAGTCGTAGCAACTGAAATTCCAACAAGTCCCATTAAAACGAGAGCTACAAGAGTTCCACCTGTGACTACAACCAATGCAATATTATTTCCAACAAAACAAGATATTATCAGACAATTTACACTAAGCACTCAGCAAAAATATGCTTTTATGATTATAACTAGTCACTTAGATGGCGAAAATCATGCTTATAACGGTATATAATATTTTATTGATTTTGTTATTGAAAATTTTGAATAGTCTTGATATTTAGATACTATCGATAATCAGTTATTAATGTGCATACCTGGTTGCGGTGGCACTGGAAAATCTCAGTTGATTCGTTCAATTACCAAATGTTTCCAAGTAACCAAGAGGGACAAGATGTTGCGTAAACTGGCACCAACGTCTATAGCAGCAGCTGAAATTGACGGATTAACTATCCATTCATTTTTAGGTGAAAGTCGCAAAAACAGTAAAAAGAAACAAACCCGTACATTTAGACCTGGCGATACGAAATTGGAAAATGAATGGCGTCATGTGAAGTACTTGATAATCGATGAGATGAGTATGGTAGGACTTAGCCTATTAGCTCGTCTCAATCGAATAGTGAAAACAGCCAAGCACGTAAATTCTGAGATACCTTTTGGTGGTGTCAATGTCATTTTCTTTGGCGACTATCTTCAATATTCTCCTGTTTTAGACAAGCCTCTCTACTATAGCTGCGCATCGACACAGCAAATTACAGAGCGTCAGATAGATATGTTGTGTGCACAGAAACTTATGTCTGAAATAAACTGCGTTGTTGAATTAACTCAGCAAATGCGAACCGAAGACATAAGATATTTGGAGCTTTTAAATAGATTAAGACATGGGCAATCGACAATAGAAGATTACCAACTTCTGTGTACGAGAGTCATAGGAAATCCAAAACTTCAAGTATCTCTACAACAAAAGCCATGGAACGAAGTATGCACATTCATTTTCTCTGTGTATCACATTACTTTTCTTTCAATAGGCTCCAATACTGGTTTTTCGGAATACGCTACGCACTCAAATTAATAATAGAGCTGTCTTAAACAAAACAATGGAAATAGGACTTACCCCAATTGTATGCATTGCTCAAGATTATATTCAAGGAAAACCAGTGAATGATCTACGATTACATAAAGCCATACTTGAACTACCTGACAATAAAACCGAACATCTTCCAGGGTATCTGCCTCTCGTACCAGGAATGCCAGTTTTACTCACAGAAAACATCGCTACCGAACTGGGACTCTCCAACGGTACACGTGGAATTTTTCGTCAACTTGTATACGATGAATCACCAGAAGATGTTCGATACCAGGATAAGAATTTTCCACCAAATACCAAGTTTATAACGCAACCAAAGTACGCTTTAGTAGAATTTCCTGGTTGCAAACTTAATACCAAACTTGCTGAACTGCAGTCCAAAATAGTTCCTATAGCTATTAGTGAATAAACATTCTTGTTCGACGCCAAAGAACTTCTTCCAGAAAATGTAGCAAAAGCAGCCAAAATAAACAAGAAAACAACAAAACTCACCGTCAAACGAAAAGCACTTCCACTTATACCCGCATACAGCATGACAACACATAAAAGCCAAGGCCAAACACTCGGTAAAATTATCGTCGATCTGGTGATGCCGCCTGGTCCAATTGAACTCGCATCGGTTTATGTTCCATTATCTCGTGTAAAGAGACTTGACGATTTACTAATCATACGTCCATTCGAATTTGGAACACTTCAAGTTAAACCATCAACGGTCCAAATAGAAGAACTTAAAAGATTAGATAAAATAGCACAAAGTACTCGGAAACGTTTTCAATTCATTGTTTAAAACAACAACATCCCAAGAGTGCCGTGATCCTCAGGCAAACCATCTAACTGATAAAAAAAACTCTATATTGCATGCTCGAAATCTGTCCGTGATACAATTATAGCCATTAGATCATTTGTAAAACCTCTATGAAACTCTATTTGAAATAAAAGCCATCAAGATAAAAGAGAATGAAAAGAATTTGAACAGTGTAAACCCGCTGTATCCGTAGGAAGTCACTATTGCTTGCGCATTCAATCCGAATCCCAAGCAGCATTTGACAGCTATACACTACAACAAAAGCTACATTTCACACGCGCCATATCAGAAAACTTTCTTAAGTACGGATTTCAGAAAGGACCAGTAATGATAACATAGTTTTCTTACCAACATCGCCGCTAATACTCGCAGTGCACTTTCATGGGACCTCGTCGTAATAAACCGACAAACTATATCGAGAACTAAAGGTAATCGAACGACCCTCATTTCATTAAATAAACTTCCATAAACAACAAGCATAGTAGCATTAGCTACCACGCCCCACTAAAAATTCCAGAAAATATCGAAGAATACTGCCTCAATAGGTTTTCCAACCATCCTCAAAACTAAACTTTCAGTTGCAAAACATATAAGAAGCATATAGGTGCAGGATCAGCGTGGGCCTCGCTGTGGGATGCATAAGAACACGTTTCATTTAATCCCAAGTCCAAACACACACCCACACCCCAACCCATCCAAACGTACCCAACATCTACACCCACACTCACGCACACCCAGACCCGCACACTCACATCCACAGCCACCCACACCCATATATACACCCACACTCACCACAACCACACTCCATCAAAACCACACCCTACATCATACCCCACTGACACCTACACCCACACTCACACCCTCATCCACACCCACACCCATTCACCCTCAAACCCACTCGCATCCAATCACACCCTCACATCCACACCGAACTGGAAACCTTAAATTGGTGCAACTCCGAACTCACCAAATCTCATTGGTATAAAAGTAACGCTCGTCCGGGGACACGCTCAGCTCATTCTCCTAGAAATAGTGTTTCTGAACTATCAACAAACCATTTACTTGTACAATTTCAAAAAGTGCGAACATACAAGCAATCAAACAATTTATTTTTGCTAGACTCTTCTCTACGAGAAAGGGAATAAAAATTCTTTTTTGTAAAAAAAGTGGCCCTTTGTTTAAAAGAATGATCCACAAAACAATTTCAAAAAAAATTCCTCAGATTCGAGTTCCTCGACCTCGATTACCTTTGACCAAGCTTTATAAAAAAAATTATTTTTAGCAAAAAAACTGATTCTTTGTGTAAAAAAATTGACCCAAACAAAATTCAAAAAACTAACATCAGATTCGAGCTCCTCAACACCGATTACCCTTCGGTCAACCCTTATAAAAAATTTTTTTTGGTAAAAAAGTGATCCTTTGTGTAAAAAAAAGTGATCCTTTGTGTAAAAAAAATCGATCCGAAAAAAATTTCAAAAAACTAACATCAGATTCGAGTTCCTCGACCCTGATTACCTTTCGGTCAACCCTTATAAAAAAATTTTTTTCGTAAAAAAAGTGATCCGTTGTGTAAAAAAAATCGATCCGAAAAAAATTTTAAAAAACTAACATCAGATTCGAGTTCCTCGACCCCGATTACCCTTCGGTCAACCCGAATAAAAAAATTTTTTTTGTAAAAAGTGATCCTTTGTGTAAAGAAAATCGATCTGAAAAAAATTTTAAAAAACTAACATCAGATTCGAGTTCCTCGACCCTGATTACCCTTCGGCCAACCCTTATAAAAAAATTTTTTTCGTAATAAAAGTGATCCTTTGTGTAAAAAAATTCGATCCGAAAAAAATTTTAAAAAACTAAC